TCTCCTCTCCTCTCCTCTCCTCACCTCTGGCAATCACCAGTGGCAATTAGTGATTTTCCCTTTGTAACAGAATTTTCAAACATTCAAGAGTGAGCTTTTCACCTGTTCCTAATCCACCAGAGCGTACGTATTTGCCTTGGTAGATTCATTAGAATTACAACTCATTTGTTGACATAAAAAGTGTGATAATTGTTTCTATGTACCTTTGGATGTGCGTGCATACGAATGGCATATCCTAAAACTCATTATGTAGCAATTTGCTTGCTCCTCTTATCGCGCAACAGAGATAATACAAATGCATGATGGCGATGATGACGACAAACCGACAATCAATGTCATTTCAATTACATACTCCATACTGTTCTGTTTGATCTATGAACATAAGTACATAAGTATGTATGCATGTGTGTATACACTTGCACTCGAAGCAGTGGAACGGCTATGTGCGACAAGTACAAAGTGGTTAGTTTGGCACTGCAAACATGAGAAAAACAAATATGACCGGGTTATCGCGATACATACACACATGCAGATAAACATACCTTCATACTTATAGAAGGTGTGCAAATGGCAGTGATTCATATTTAGTAACCGCGCAGCAGCACTGGCAAGAGCAACAGCAATAGCGACAGAGGTAAAATGCGAACAATGCTGCTGCTTGCCTGCCTGCCAGCCATGGATATCGGATCACACGTTCATTTCGCGAAAATTTATGTGCACTCTACACTTGATCTAATTTCACTCTGAACTACATACATACAAAGGAGCATATAGGTAAATATACGATGGATGTATTAAGAAGAGTAACCAGCAAACATTTGAGAAGTATTTGATGAATGGTGTGTTTGAATCATGTGTGAATCATTAAAGAATCATTGATGACTCATTTATGACTCTTTTATGACTTATTTATGATTCACAAATAATGGCTCATAATTATGACAGATCAATTTGCGATTCACTTATGAAACATAAATAGTAACTCATACCAATAAATGACTCATTTGTCAGAATTATTAGGGATCCTTTTGTGACTTTCATATGCTATTCATAAGTAACTTGTACTCATATATGACTCATGGTGACTCACTTATCTAAACATACTAAGATCTGATCCAAATACACATTATCATAATTATTAGCGATCCTTTTTTGACTCACATATGATACATGAGCAATGACTCGTACTCATATATGACTCATGGTGACTCATTTATCTAAACATACTAATATCTGATCCAAACACGCATAATCAAAATTATTAGGGATCCTTTTGTGACTTACATATATTATTCATCAGTAACTTGTACTCAAATATGACTCATGGTGACTCACTTATCTAAACATACTAAGATCTGATCAAAACACACATAATCACAATTATTAGCGATCCTTTTTTGACTTACATATGACTGATAAGCAATGACTCGTACTCATATATGACTCATGGCGACTCACTTATCTAAACATATTAAGATCTGATCCAAAGGCGCATAATCACAATTATTAGCGATCCTCTTTTGACTCACATATGATTGATAAGCAATGACTCGTACTCATATATGACTCATGACGACTCACTAATTCAAACATATTCAAATCTTTCCTTACTATGAGTCATTGACCCAAAAATACTTAACTCATTGAACCAAATATTCATAATGATTATTGTTAGAATCATTTTATATATCACATATGACTCGAAAGCAATAAGCAACAAAGTACTCTTAGTGCTATAAAGAATGTTGTAAGAGTACTAAATTAGCACAAATAATAACAATTTAAAGCAAAGAAAATACTTACTTCAAAATGAGTCACGAAGAAAATGTCGCCTAAACTTAAATAAATGAGCTGAATTACAGCTAACTAAGATGGTAAAACGAGTCCCATGTCAGCTCAGTTTGAATCAGAGGACTGAAATTTTAGCGATGAAAAGCCAAACAGAGGTTCAACTGAGTCAACGACGAAATTAGGTAAGTAAGTAAATGAATTATAGATGTAATTATCTTCAATTAAATGATTATAACCTACAAGATTCGAAAATGTCCTATAAAAATCTACAACTTTCCCTTTTATGAAGAAAAGGAATCATGTATGAGTCAATCAGTAAATATGGGGATACAACTCAAGACTTATAAGATAGTAAATATAGCAGAGTCCTTGCTGAAAAGAGAGCAAATATTCTGACCGTAATCTAAAATTAGTCAACAAATGCCACCGACTAAAGCCTAGATAGAATCCAAATTGATTTATATTTGAGTTCCTAAAGATCTAAATGAAGATTTCACACAAACCAAGAGGATATAGCAAGATACAAACATGAATCATATCTGCTTTTCAGAGAATCTCTAGAAAGACAAAAAATGCGTTGAAGACTTATCATGTATGAGTACATATTGATCCATATGCATGTAATTTAAGTAACACAAAAATTTCCAAATAAATCAAAATTATTGAGAATTATACTCAATCATATACTCGTACTGAAATTTCAATCAGTGAGTTATGCAATTAAAAAATGAGTCATATATTCAATGAAACACATATATGGTCGCTTCCAGCCAACATGCTAAGGACTAAGTTGAGTAACGTAATGTGTCGGAAAAAGTCAATTATTCACATTGTGTTCTTTAAAATACAAACGGTACTACGAAACAATCTAAAAAGAGCTATTCAGGAGTTACAAAAGAGCGAAATGAATCTTATGTATATTAAGAAAAAAACCGTAATAGGAAAACTTGGAAATTCTCACAATTCTCAAGTACGAAATGAGTCATTTACATTAGACCAGATCGTTTCCGCAAATTGTAAATAAGACAAAAAATTTTTAGTCTTCGGCAATATTTATTTTATTGCCTTCAAAATATGCTCCTTCTGAAGCGATTCATTCACGTATATGCCAACTTTTTTTCTATTCATTTAAACATGCCTAGTAGGCGCGGTCCGGGATCGCCTACAGTTCCCTTTGCAAATTTTCATTTACGGCCTCAATCGAGTCGAAACAGGCTCCACGGAAAGGTTTCGGAAACAGAAAAAAAGTCTAATGGGGCAAAAAAAAACGAAAAATTCTGGTCTCAATGCAACAAAAGTCAATGAATGCCTCATTTGAATCAAATAACTTACCGAAGAGATGAAAATGAGTAATCCTGCCCATCTCAGACTCATTTGATGTCAAACATGGTAATGAGGGTACAAAAAGCTTTAATCTATGAGTCAAAAATAATCCATAAGTATAACAAGTATACTCGTACTCATAATATGAATTTAAAAAAAAACAGAAAAGATTACACTATGAATCACATGATTCACTCAAAATTTGAAGTGAATCATGAAAAGTAGCATGGTACTCCTTTAAAGGTCGTATAAACGGTACAAGGAAAGAACAAACAATTCATGTCATGCCTCTTTAGTAACACATTTATGACTCCAAATTATTTACTGGGTAACTTAGTGTACTCGTCCGCGGGTTCATTCATTAAAAGCATATTTCACAAGCTTGCAATAACTTTCCAGCTTTAGTGCTGTGGTTGTTGGGCTGTCGTGTTGTCGTGCTGTTGAGCGCCAGAAGCGAAAGTAAGAGTGATGAGTGATGGGTGATGAGTGTGAGTGGTCGGTGCACCGAAAGGAACTAACTGTTAACACGACACAAAGTAATTTGCAAATATATATGTGCGTTTAAATATCTTATATATATAATCAAATATATATATATTTTTTTGCATTTGTGGTTTAAAAATATCACACTTTTAATGCTTTAAATCGCGCTCTATGTATTGCGTCTGAGTGAATGGATGAGTGTTTCGTTGAGTGTGCGTAGTTGCTCACCCTTAAGCGCATATATAATATTTATTTCGATTTTATTTATTTTTCTTCTTTTTTTTTGTACAAATTACATCTACCCATTAATGGTGTTTAGCAGTTGAAAAACGCTGGCCAAATTTGCTTGCATATCACCAACATCGATCAGCGGTGCCTCATATATGATGATGCATGCACAAAGCCACAGCGCAGTCGTGTCGCGACAATTTTCTCGCATTAGCGCACAACACCGTTATTTGGATGAAAAAATATGCTCAGTTCGGGGGTGGCTCTCGCTGTGCATAAATGTCGGAAAGGCGGTCGGTTAATGTGGTTACTTTCGGAAGGAAAAAACTCAATTGCGCAGATAATCTAATGGAAGACACAAATTAATTCAAAGTAGAAAAGAAGCGAATAGAAAAAAATATGTAAAAAATACATACATACTTATGTATATTAATCAAAAATCGTAAATCAAAGACAACAAAAACAACAACACTCCGCTATTGCCCTGCTTAGTGAACCTCTGAGCTGCAGACTCCTCCACCCAGTGTGTCTCTAGTGTTTAGCAATTAAAATTGCATACGAAACAAACAACAAAAAGTCTTCATTTGTCTACCTGTGAGTGTGTGTGTGTGCGCGTGTGCATTCAATGGCGCGGCTTGTGATTTATCTCTTCGTCATCTGCACTTTACTACTTTGTCAAGAAAACGTTCGTCATAGTGGCGCCACCGGTGGCTGGCGTACAGGTGTGGCGGATGCAACCAATGGTCATGGCAGTCAGTTAGAGGGTCGTGATCGGCATCATCATGAACGCGGTGGACATATAAGACGTGAGTTTGGGTGGGTGGAAGAAATGAAAAAAGATAAGTGTTTTCCCTTAATTTAGAAAAATACATTAAGGCGGGTGGGAACTCAAAAGCCTTGATACCGACTAAATTTCGTTACACTCACCATAATTAGACATTTTCTTCAAGAAATCTTGCATCTACTTAACTTGCTGGAATAAAAACAAAAACTTATAATATATAAATGAAATTTTCATTTGAAAAAAAAAAAATATTTAAAAATGTAAAAGAAAAAAATAATAACGAAAAATATTTCTAATTATTACGACGAACCCAGCGTTACCCACTTCATACCGACCGAGGGGCGCGCGTAAAGTATAATCGAAAAATCCAACAGACTAATGGCCGAAAGCCAGGTATATTGAGAGTCGAGAAGAAACCCTTCTACTCACAGTAAAACATGCCTACAATGCAGGTTTACTTCTGTCCAGCTTTTGCAAAAGAAGCAAACTCAAAATGACCGAATGAGTTTGACCGCTCATATGGCAATAAGACCAAGACTTCATAGCCTCCTAGACCGGTTCTCCATTAACATGACGACAGCTGTAATACCAAGTTTAATTAGCCATCCGGATAAAATAATGAGCTGTCACCTTTAAGATTTCTGTCGCAGCTGTAAGGACGACAAAGAGGAAGAGTCTATTGAGCACTACCTCTTTCACTGTTCAGCCTTGACATCTGTTCGACACAAGTTTCTCGGAAAACACTTCTTCGACTGTCTCGCTGTGCTAGCTTCAGCAAAGTGTGAGAAGTTGAAGTTAGAAGCTTCGCAGATGTATTGCTAACTAATCAGCAACCACATCAACTTAGCTCAACTCATGGGTCATTTAACTTAATAGTCCACAATTTAATGAAAGCCGAGGCTTCTTCGGTCTAACTAGCACAACAATTTATATGATTTCGAAAATCTAGATTAGGTTGCATAGTAATAGCTAGGTCAGTGACGTCAGTAATCTGTTCAACACTGTAATTATGTATCCTGTAGGCAAAAGAAATATTTCCCAGAGAATCGCATTAAATTTATGGACATTCTGATGCTTTACTAAATTATTCAGGTCAAACCGAGAGAACTTGTTGTATGATTTGTTGAAGTCAATGAAAATGACATCAGTCTGATAACCATTTTTGTAACCATTACTGAAATGGTAAGCCCTAGCAAGTTCAATAATGAGATCTCAATAATCGACAACACAGAACGGTTATAATATGCGTGTTTTGATTCATCACGAATTCGTTCCAACGAGACTTACGGTCAATTAAGGGTATTATTTTAGCGTTTTGAGGCGTTTGCGCGTAAACAGTTGTCGTAAACAGCCGGTATTTCGGGCTAACAATTTCCGGAAACTTTCTTGATGATATGCGCCATCGCACCGAGATGTAGTTGTGAATGATTTTGAAACCAAAAACTCGTTCAATACCAAGGATCAACCAGCGTATTCATCGAATTGGGCCGCATACGACCCTTTTTTTTATTTCCAAAACTCAAGTTACCTCCCCGTGGAACCCGGTTCGACTCGTTTGAGGCCAATTGCCGAAAATGTCGATAAAGACATAGACATTGTCGAGTCCGACCGTCTGTAAGCACTGTACCGATTGTCCAAAGGCTAAAAAGATTACACAAAACATCGCTTAGAACCATTTGAATAAGGCTGGATACGAAAAGAAAAAAAAAGAAACCAATAAATTTTATGCAAAATAAAATTAAATAATAAATTTCTTTTAATTAAACCAGTATATGTGTCTTTCAACAATAACATGTGTAGGTTGTTAATGAGCTTTTAAGGACATAAAGATGGTGGTAAACAGTATCAGCGAAAAGATCAGGCATTTTTACACAACCAAAAGAAGAGACCAATTCGATTCGAAAAAGGATTCGATCATTTCTGTGATACTGTAACACTTATTAGAAACGACATGCTAATAATTTTTATAGATGATGGAGACCCATAAGTCTTATGATTTGAATTATAATAGCTATAGGCAAAAATATAAGATTCATTAGATGGGCGACAAGTAATTTTATCGTTAGTATATATGTCAGCCATTTTTTGGTTGGATTTTATTTTTCTTTATTGGCGTAGATACTACTCACATTTTTATAGCGGCGTGAACAATAGCACTCTATGCGATTCAGCTCTTGGCTCTTCGGTGTCCTAAGTGATGACAGGTCCTTCTGTACCTGATCGTTCCAACAGAGTGAAGTCCTCATCTTCATATTATTCTTCAAAAGATATTTTGATATAGATTGTTTGGCTTATGCTGATTCACTACCATACTCATTACTTTCGTTTCATTACACAATGCAGAGTAAGCAGATTTTACGTCGCAGTTTGAAAGGGCAACTGACATAGCAACGACTGAATGCTCGAACCCATCTATGTCTTTGTTATTGGTTATAGTTTTATATTTTTTCGGACTAGCGAGATTTCGTCCTGAAAGCTCTACAATTTTTTGTGTCTAGTTTGAGAATACACACACATTTTGAATAATATTAATTTCAACATTGGTTTTCGATGAAATTTTCCACATATTCCCACAACTCGAAATACGGGAAATTTCCACAATCTCGGAAATGCTTTTGTATAAGCCAGCTTCACTTGCGAAACGTATTATCAATTGCTGCTATGGAAAAGTGAACGAAAGGAAATTAACAAAAATATGAATAAGCACTTCTGTGAATTTATAAGCTACGTCAAAGTACAGTTTATACTCAAATAACAATTATGTACATGTGCGCATTAGGGAGAACCAAAATTAGCAACCTACCTTTTTTTATGTTAAAGTAAACTAATTTGCTGAGAAAAATCCACCTCATGAAGCAAATTACCTGAGGCCAAAAGTTGTCATAATTTTACTAAAAATAATCATCTTACGCGCTGTTTATATAGAGAACTATGAATGCCCGCCGACATCTTTAAAAATGGGACAGGAAATCATTGTTTGCACGCGCATGTGTTTCTCAAAAAATTAGTTTATGCTAACCCATAAATGTCACAGGTTAGTTTATTTTTGGCCCATACTAATGTGCATAGAAAAAAAGTAATTGAAGAATAGATGAACACAATCACGAGCGTATGTCATGAGTTAAAAACTAATATTGTTATTATATTTTTTTGTTCTTTTTCTCTTCATTTCTCTGCTAGGCGACCTCAATCATTGCTGGCGCCGCTATGATGGCTATAATTTGCAGAGTACAATGGTCAATAAAAAGGAGCAAATGAAGAAGCCGTACGGCATATTGTGCAACTTCAAATGTACTTGGTTTTTTACAATAAAGTGAGTCAATCAAAATTATAATTGAAGAAAGTATTATTGGAAGACAATCAAACGAAACAAATATTTAAATCATACAAAACAAAAATAATTGAATTAAAAGGAAGTCATGCATAGAAAACTAGAGTAAGAACCACAAATAAAGATAACCAAATATGAATAAAAAATATTATAAAGCAAAGAAGGAAAATGAAATAAAATAAAATGAAAAAAAAATCCAGAAAAAATGAAATGTGGTATATTACATTAAAATAAAATTAAGCAAACTAGAATAAAAACAACCAATTAAATAATTCGTAAGAGAAAAAAATTAAATATAAATAATAAATCAGAAAAAATAAAAAAAAAAGTTTTAAAAAAAGAAAAAATTATAGTTAAAAAAGAAAACCAAATAAAATTAACAAAGATAAAATAAAACAAAAAAAAATAACAACAAATCAAATATTTTGTAACGGAAAAGAAAATAAAATAAAATGAAAAATGAAATAAAATTAAATGTAAGAAGAAATATTAAAAAAATTAAATGAAGTATATTAAATTGAAATAAAATAAAACAAACAAGAATTAAAACAAACAATAAAAAAATGTGAAACAGAAAAAAAATTAAGTATACTTAATAAATTAGAACACATAAAAGAAATATAAAAAATGCAAAAAAGAATAAAAAACAAAAAATTAAAATTAAATAAAGTAAAAAAAATTAAAAAATTATAATTAAAAAAAAGATAGCAAAATATATTTAATAAAGATAAAATATAACAAAAAAAAAATAACAACAAAATATATTTTGAAACAAAAATTAATTAATAAAAATTAAAATAGAACAAAAAAATAAAAAATTCAAAACGAAAAAAAATTTAATACACTAAAACTTAATGATGTAACATAAAATAAAAAAATTACAACAAATTTAAATAAAATGATATATAAAAACCCAAATAAAAATAAAATAAAATATAACACAAAGCAAAATAAACCAAAACTAAACAAAAAAAACCAAATGTTAAAAATAAAGTAAAATAGGAAAAAAATTAATAAATCGATATAAAATAAAAACGTGTAATTAAATTAAAAATAGAAAAATAAAATGAAACTAATGAAAAAAACATGCTAAAGCAAAAAACAATAAAAACATTTAAATGAAACTATTACAAAACCAAATATAAACAAATAAAACGGAATAAATGCAAACCAAAAATGATTAAGAATAAAATGAACGATATGAAATCGGAAAAATAATAATCAAACGAGTCAAAAAAAGGAAACACAATAAAGTCAACAAAATAAACTGAATATAATTAACAAAATTAAAAAAAAAAAATTAAACGAAATAATTAAAAAAAAAATTATGATGAAAAATTAAAAAAATGATATGAAATTCAGACAAATTAATTTACCGAAATGAAATCATAAATAAAATTAAATAGAATACAGTCAAGAAATTGAGAAATAATTAAATATTCATTAAAAAATACAGTCAAGAAATTGAGAAATAATTAAATATTCATTAAAGAAAAATTTAAATTTTAATTGAAGGAATATATTAAAAATTTAAATTAGTTTAAATAAAGGAAATTAAGAAATAAAATATTACATAAAAAATCAAAAATATTTAAAAATGAAATATATTGAATGAAACTATGTAAAAATAACTAAAGATTTAATTTTATTTTAAAAATATAAAGTCAAATCAAATAAATTGAAACAATGTAAAATAAGTAAAACATAAAATATAATTAAAAAAATATATAAAATAAAATATATCCAAATTAATATTCATAATATGACAATGTATTAAAATAAATAAATAAATATATATTAAAATAATAAAACAATAAATCAAAAATAATACAAAAAACGAAATTAAAATAAACTCAAAAAAAATGACAAAAATAAATAAATTATATAAAAAAGAAAATGTAAAGAATATAAAATAAAAAAATTGAAATAAAATAAAGCAAAATCAAATTATATAAATTAAATAAACTGAAGAGAAATAAGGTCAATCAAATTAAAATAAAGTTACACAAAATGTGATATAAAATTAAAATAAATTTAATTAAATTAATTTAAATTTAAAGAATAAAATAAATTTCCTACTTTAATAGATATCTTAAATCTATATACTTTGCTGCCGCACAGAACATAAGCAAAAATCTTAAATTCATAGCAAATAAAATTAGGCTTTTTACTCAAAAAATATTTATGCATGCATACTTTTTGGCAATACTTTTCCTTGCGTTATGAATATGTGCTATACATTTTTCGCATTTAAATAATTTAGCTCTCGTCAAATTAAAAAAAAAAATAACAATTCATTGAAATATTTGAATTGCGCCTATGAATTACAATATATAAGGATACACTGCGTATACGTAACTTCTTTGCTTCCAACACAAACTTAGAACTGATGAAGATGAAATATCTCAATTTAATAATGTGGGCTTTTTATTAAATTGAGATATTTCATCTTCATCAGTTCTAAGTTTGTATTGGAAGCATTTTTCCTTAAATCGTTTCTTATGGAGTTATTCACACTTATCGTTAATTAGCAAAGAAGTTACGTATACGCAACATAAGCGCATTTCAAATATTTCAATTAATTGTTATTTTTTTTTTATTTTAACGAGAGCTAAATTATTTAAATGCGAAAAATGTATAGCAAATTTTCATAACTCAAGGAAAAGTATTGCTAATAAGTATGCATGTATTGATATTTTGTGAGTAAAAAGCCTAATTTTATTTGCTATGAATTTAAGATGTTTGTTTACTTGCGCCAAGGAAAAAAAATTATTAATTTGTATTTAATAATTTTTTATGAATCGATCAACTAATCCTTATTTATTAATAAGTGAAAATATACATATATTGTCTAGTGCTTATTTACTAATTTTTCTTCTTCTTTGTACAGTTTTCCCACATGTGAATTCATTTATGATTACAAACTCTCTTGCTACTTATTTACATCACTGCCGGATTGTACTGCGGTTAAATGTACGCTTTTAAATTTTTTTACATAAAATTTCGTCAAGAAAAGGCGTGACTAATTTATACTTATATAATATAAATTTACTATATTTATTAAAATGGTATTAATTTTAGGTGAAATTTTTGTAAATATATTAAAGTTATAATATTTAATTAATAATATTCATAGTTAATTTATAAAATATAATTAATTGTTATTATTTATAAAAAAACATATAAAATAAACGTACTTTTTTTAAATAAATAAATTAAATATTTTGTGAATTTACAACCGCTTTTATTGAAAAAATAGACAAAAGTTTGAAATGTACGTATTAAAAGACATTTTTTTAATTATATTATATATATATGAGTAATTATCTCTTTCTTTTTCTTAGTGATAAATATTTCCTTGGAAATTTCCTTCGAGTTTTTTTTTTTGCTATAAAAAATCCTTTATAGCTACGGAGTCCTTTAGGGTTCTTCAGCGATTTGGGTAATCTGTTTAGTATGCCGAAAGCACCAGCGTCGATGAAAATGAGAAAAAATTACGAAAATTCATTTGTATTTGTTGCATGCGCTCCCTTGTACAGTAAAAAACAATTAAATAATTGCCACCGAAAGAAAAAAAGAGCATGACTGGAAATTTATAGCCCCAAATGTGGATATAATAAATTTCATTATTTTATTGCATGCATACACATATGCATAACACATTTAATTTGTGAGAATAGTTATGTAAAATAGTTGAACACATTTAACATATGTAAGTAAAAAAAACAGGGGGACACATATACCGAAAATGTCCCCAAAGCCACCTTCAGCCACCATTACCAAAACAAAAAAGAAACAAAAACAAAATTCCGCTTAGTTCTGCGATTTCACTGAATCCAAATTCCACATAAAACATTTAAATGCTTTTAATTTCATTTTGTTTATAAATTTTTCAACATTTCTGACCCCTCAAAAAGGTAGAAAAAAAACTTTCAATGTCATTTCAATTGGCAGTTTTTGTTATGAGTTCGAAGGCAAGGTACATAAGTCAAATGCATGTATACTTATATTATATATTGTGCTACATATGTTATATACTGTTTACACTAATTCATCACTGTTAAACATACAGTACATGCATACATACAAATGCCAACATAATGGGTTATCCAGTACGTGGTTACAAAACTACAGGACTGTATTTTGACATCTGCTAAACTTAAATGTCAAACAAAACATGTTTTGTTATAGTTAAAACTCAGGTATCTATGAAAACGGATTGCTTAACAACCGCACAACGTGTTAAAAGCGCTAAAAAATACTACGAAACTGGTGACTCAAATGTTCTTTTGAACAGCATGTTCTTCCGGTGGATGTCACCTTTGTCGCTATAGTTTTTTGACACTTGAAAGACAAAAAAAATGGTATGATAAAGGCCTCAGCGACGTATTGAAATTCTTAAAGTTCATTAGAAAAAATTGTGAAAGCCTGGCAGAGATGGTTCATAAAACTAAGAAACTTCTCGGTTGTCGGGAAGCACCTTGTCGGACCGCAATACAGCAATTGAGTATAGCTGTTGGAACAACTGAAGAATAAAATACATGAACGTCGCTCCAGAATAACTGAGACTTCAACTGCTGTAGTTCAAATTGTTGAAGAAACCAAACGTATATCGTCATCCCGTCGTTCTTTGGAATCCGACATTCCACTACCGTATTTCAATACGACAATTTCGATGGAACTATACGATAAATCTTCCACCCTTACCAACTATTTAAAGTTTCTAAATCTACCTACTATCGCAAGTCGTAGAGAAATGTTAGGCGCATATTCGGTAATGAAACTTGTTAACGGATCAATTTCTAGTTTATGACTCTTATCTGAAGTAAACTTAAACTATTTACACCCGTTACAATGTACCTAGGACTACACGAGTTGCAGTGTACCTAGGCAGTTGAGGCCTTCGGTATTAAAGTCATGTAAAACAAATTATAAAGAGAATAAACCTTTTCGCCGATTGTGTCACAATTTTGATTTTCATTCCGACACCTTCGTTCTCTCGGACTCACTTTTGGGCATCAAAAAAAAACAAAAACATTCTTACTTAACTCAACAAATAAATTTCAAAATTCCCTAAATACTAAATTTCAGCTGTTGAATAATTATTTTGTCTGTAGCTGAATAGTTTTGGATCTCGACGCTTAACAAACGCTTCCCAGTTATGACTCGGCATATTCCGAACGTTATGCGGATGTCGCCTGTCGTGTTGGTTGGGCGGATGGAAGGTATGCTAGGCTTATAAGTGCATAAGTTCGTGCCCGATTTCAAGTGCAAACTAAAATTGAAATTTTTTGAAGAAAGCGCTTTTATTAATCAGTTATGTATTCGCCATCATGTTCGACAATCCACTCCCAACGTTCAACCAATTCGCGGACGCCTGATTTATAGAAATCGCGCGGTTTCTCGTTGGAAAAAGGTGTCAAGGTGGTTTTTGACGTCTTCCACATTTTTAAATTTTTTTCCATTCAAATTGTTCTGCAGCGATCGAAACAAACGATAATCAGAAGCCGCAATGTCAGGTGAATATGGGGGATGCGGCATGATTTCCCAATTCATCTCCTTCAGTTTGGCCAGGGTCGGTTTTGCAGCATGTGGCCTGGCGTTGTCATGATGACAATACTTGTTGGCAGTGATCATTTCCCCAGCTGGCAAGAGCTCAAAATAGATCACGCCTCGGATATCCCACCAAATGCACAGCAGTACCTTCATCTGATGCAATCCACCTTTCGACATCGGTTCCGCCGCTTCGAGTGCCTGTTTCCATGTTCTTTTGCGTTGAACATTGTTGTACAGGATCCACTTTTCATCACCAGTCACGAGCCGATCCAAAAAAGGTTCGTGTTTGATCCGTCGAAGCAAAGAAATTTCTCTTGACATACGGTCCACTTTGTTTTTTTCACTCAACTGATGAGGCACCCATGTATCGAGCTTCAAAGTGTACCCAACCTTTTTCAAACGAGGGAACGCAGTTGATTTGTTGACGTTCAATTCACTGGCAACCTCTTCCGTCGAAATACGTGAATTATTCGCATCTAAAGTCCTTAGAACATCGTGATCAAGCTCAGAAGGCCGTCCACTGCGAGGTTGATCTTCGAGGTTAAAATCTCCAGAACGACATTTCGCGAACCATTCCTTTACTGTGCGGAGTGCTGGAGCACGGTCCAAATAAATTTCGCGAATATCTTTAGTTGCAGCGCCTACTGTTTTTCCTTTGCGGAATTCGTGTAACATAATATGACGCATATGATATTTTTCGTTGTCCATCTTCCATGCGTCTTTTCACTAAGCAACTTAAATCAAAATGAAGTTATTTTATGCTTGATTTACTGTTCCGACTGTCACCTTTCCAACGATATATAATATGTATATATTTCTTTCACGAGCACCACTCTCAAACGATTCGAACGGTATCCAGCGGAATCGGGCACGAACTTATGCACTCATCCAATATTATTATTATAAGACTCGGGTTCAAATCCTGGTGTCGTATACTAACTTCCAAAAACTTATAAAAAATTAATTTAAATAAAAAATTAAATTCTAATTGCGGTCGCGTGTATTTCTGATATCAAGTAAAGGCTCTTCGTAAAAAAAACCATCACCTGTTCGGATAGTATAAACTGTAGGTTCCCCCATTTGTTGGAAAAACATCAAGAAGCAAAACCACAAATTGGAGGAGGAGCTCGGCCGAAAAGCTGTATGAGCATTAAATGGATGATGTTGCCGGAAAGATGACGAAAGGTCGCCTAAGAGAATGGAAAATACATAATTGATTAAAGTTTATTATAGAATTATAAAAAAAAATGGTCTTACTTTCATTTAACAAATCGCCGGTCTCTTTTGACGCATCCAATATTTTCATTCCGTTTAAATTTTATTTATTTTCGAAACCCCAAAACCGATTACCCAGTACCTCCTTATGAGGGTAATGCAATAATACGGTTGAATGAATAATGAATGATTGTAGTGTGTACATATATATTGTCGTGGGGTGTTTGTAAATATTTACCTTTATTCGTATACATATATGTATGTGTACGTGTATGTATATTTATATGCATATATATTGTGCACTGAAGAGTATAGTAAATTTTTCACTTTACGCTAATATTTACCTGTGTACTAAGTATGGACAGATACATAAATATTTATATATGCATATATATGCATTCGTATGTACATACTACATATATGTAGTCATGCGAGAGTAAATATATATATTTATTTTGCACGCCTCTCTTTGATACATTTACATACGCACATACATGCAAAGCATTAAAATGATTGTTTTTATTCAACTTCAAAGGCGAGGGTAGCTCAGTGGAATTCTCTATTTCAACAAATTCATTTCCAGCTGCGAAAAGTAAGAGTCGCATAAATTTCGTTGTAAATGTATCATGGAAAAGTATGTACATATGTATGTATGTGTGTAAGTAAACATAATAATAAATATAAGTAGTTTATGCCAACTTTGCCCCAAAATTGCCCCAATGTTATGCTGAAATTTAAATACATAAATATGTATGTACATATAAACGAATATCCGGAGTCATGAATTTGCATAAATACCATGGAGTTTCGCCTTAATATGTATGGAAGCAGTTTGAGGGAGAACTACCTTGTTATGTACCTGTCGACCTAAACGGTGTTAAGTCACCGAAACTCCCTCCCCCATCAGAAGAGGTTGCCTTGACCTCATATGCCGTTGATTGTTCGATATTGGCATCTGGCAAGGATATTGATGATCTTTACTCGAAAGTGTATGGCTATCTCACCCACCTGCCATACTTCTGCCCTGAACGACAGCTTAAAATTCAACCGACCGAGTCTTCGGCTACTCTTTTCACCAGCGACGGACTAAAGGCATGAACTCAATGTCGAAAAATAACCCAAAGCTATTGGGAGTCCCACTTGACAGCCTGCACTCCTTCACTCCGCATACGACTGTAATTGTGACAAAACTGCAGAGCCACAAAAAATTACTCAAAACGCTAGCCGACAGCAACTGGGGTAAAGATAAAAACACATTGCTGACAACTTATAAAGCAATTGAACACCTATCTGGGTACC